GATTGATGCATTCAACTTCAATTTAAAGAAACAAATCTTCCCGGGGTGCATGCCCCCGGACCCCCCCTAGAGGATGTCAGGTAATCACAAATAAAACAGGTTCACATGGATAGGATACTAGATAAGTGTGCACACTCATTATATACACTACACATTTTTCTTGGATTTGTTAACACTATAGTCCCTAATATATTTGTAGAAAGGCAGGAAATGGAATTAAATTGAGAAAATATTTCATTGCGGAGGACCCCCTGTTTTGTGTCCCCCCCACTTCTCAAACCAAAGTTACACCCTTGCTTACGTGACGGGCAGCGAACGGAGTTTCGCCGCCGTCTCCCCAGCAAAGGGAATGTGGAAAAGACGAAGGCGCATCACTTCCGTGATTTAAATAGGATATCATGAACCATGCAATTTATTATTTATTTTGCGTTTATTAATTATGGGGGATGATTGTGTTAAGAGATAGTTAACCTGTTTATGTTTGGGTCGTATAGTTTTCTCATATTTGAGGGATTAAAATTAGGTTGTCTATCCCTCTAAACACATCCTAGCTGTTGCCTTCACTGCAACAATCTCGCGAATGACTCTTCCAGGGCCAACACTGTCCCTTTTGAACCCATAGCCCACAGGCTTACCGTCAACAGCTACACAATTAACTCAAAACCACATTGTCAACATAAATGTAATCCCTCAAACATGAGAAAACTATCCGACCCAAACATAAACAGGTTAACTATCTCTTAACACAATCATCCCCCATAATTAATAAACGCAAAATAAATAATAAATTGCATGGTTCATGATATCCTATTTAAATCACGGAAGTGATGCACATCCGTCTTTTCCACATTCCCTTTGCTGGGGAGACGGCGGCGAAACTCCGTTCGCTGCCCGTCACGTAAGTATCGTGTAATATAGTTAAATGTATGTTTAAATAATTGTAGACTCACAAGCGTGCACTCATGGTCGCGCTACAGAAAGGGAGGGGAAAAAGGGACGTTTTAGTGATGATTTAACCTTATTTATTGACAAACGGAAGAGAGCAGGAAATGTTTGGTGTGTGTGTATGTGTGTGTGTCGCCGCTGCGGCTATCAGTGGCGGAGTCAGTCACTCTGTGATCCGCTCAGTCACATTATCCTCCCCCTCCCCGAGGTTGGCGATGTGCGGCAACCTGGAAAGGTAATCAGCCACTACATTCGATTTGCCAGATCGGTGACGGATGATGAATTTGAACGGTTGGAGTGAGAGGTACCAACAGATAAGACGGCTGTTGTGATCTTTCATGAAGTTGATCCAGGTGAGAGCACGGTGGTCGGTTTCCAGGTGAAACTCACGCCCAAGCAGAAAGTACTGCAGACTCTCTAGGGCCCACTTAATGGCTAGGCCCTCCTTCTCTACAGTGGAATATCTGGTCTCACGGGGAAGCATCTTACGACTCAGGTACAGGATTGGTCATTCTTCTCCAAGGTCCCCTTGGACCAGGACTGCTCCAAGGCCTACTGCAGAGGCGTCCACCTGTACCAGAAACCTTTTGGTGAAGTCTGGACTTTTAAGGACAGGGGTTCCGGCAAGGTGCGGAAGGCTGTTTCACAGTCTTCTGACCAGGTTACTGGGTTCCTCTGATCCTTGTTGGTCAGTGCTGTGAGTGGCGCTGCGATGGTGGCAAACTGAGGCACAAATCTCCTGAACCATCCAGCCAATCCAAGGAAAGACCTGACCTCCTTTTTGGTGTGAGGTTGAGGGCAGCTTCGGATAGCTTCAACCTTAGCCCTGTTGGTGTTCTGAAGGCTGTGTATGGTCTGCTTGACTTCTCCAGCGGCACTTGCCAGTACCCTTTACACAGATCCAGGGTGGTGATGTACCTGGCAGCTCCAACCCGCTCCAGCAAGTCATCAATTCTTGGCATGGGATAGGCGTCAAACTCTGAGATGGAGTTGAGCTTCCGGAAATCCATGCATATCCGTAGAGACCCATCCTTTTTGAAGACGATGACCACCGGCCTGCACCACTCTGAGTTGGATGGCTCAATCACTCCAAGTTTTCTCATCTCTTCTACCTCTTTCTGCAGTTCTTCTACCAGTTGTTGTGGGACACGGTAGGGACGTTGGCGGATTGGTTGTCCATCTTTTAGTCGGATGACATGCTCAACAAGGGTGGTTTTCCCTGGGCTGGCAGCCAAGAGTGAAGGAGCCTCCTTGGAAATCTGGAGGATCCGTGCAGCTTGCTCAGGTGCAAGGTGCGTCAAAACAGGAACGGCAGCCACAGTTAGGGTATCCAATCCATTCTCGACCTCCTCCTCCTCCTCCTCATCCAAGTTCACCTCCTTCACCAGCAATGCCATGTCATTAGGGCTTTTAGGGCAGGACAAAGAGTACAATTTGTTCCGTCTGGCACACTCAGAGGAGTGTGGAAAAAGTTAGAAAAATGGAGGGTGAGCTAAAGATGAAAAAGAGGAAAACTTTAAAGAAATATGAGACAAAACGTGAAAGACTGGGAAAGCAATAGACATCATTGTTAAGAGGATTGGTGAAAAAGCATGGGTGAAGGACAAAATAAAGGACGTCGCAAGTCGTAATTATTACATTGGGGACAGAGAGGGCGAGATGAGATTCATGAACCCTTCCTTCTCTATTTTTCTTTGGAGCCATCCCGTGTTTCTCCTCACTTTTTCCCATATTTTCCCTATCCTTTTCTCTCAGCATGTTGAGCAGCAATCTGTTAGTGTCAGAGATAATTAGATTGAAGAAGAGGAAGAGTTTGAAAAAAAGAAAGTGAAGGAGGCAGGAGATTTAAAGTTGGTGTGAAAATGAGAGCGGAAGAGTGGGGAGAGGAGACAAAGTGATGGGTATCACATTTATCACTGACTTTAATTGGAGGGAAAATCATCCTTCTGTGAAGAAAGGTTTTGTTGGAAGTGGGACAACCAACATGGAAACTGAAAACTTTTGACAGACTATACATTTTAACTATAAAAGATAAAAGGAAAAAAATCAATGAGCTTTTCAAATTTCAAGCGCTTATCAAACGACAAGCTATGTTTCCTTTTGATTATCCAGGGTGAACCATTCCTGTGATCCTATGTGAGCATGGATAGATGATGTTCACTTTACAAGCACAAGCACCTATTTTAAACAGCACCATGGATGCTCCTGAGATACACTATTCAGCTTTTGTAACATCCTCTGCATGCCATGTGACCAGAAACAAATAATCACAGGCAGCAAACATCCTTCTTTCGAAAACAACCGTATTGAGTATACTGTAAAAATATTTTTGTAAAAAAACTGATATTTTCTGGCAGCTGGGGCGCCAGAAAATGTCTGTTAAAAAAAGGAAAAAAACTGTAAAATAAACTACGGAGATAAAATGTAAAAAAACATTAACTTACCTTACCACAAGTAGCCTCTATTACTGTAATTTTACATGAAATCTTTTTCTTTTAACATATATTATTTGTTAGAATAGAGTCATAAACCTCTAGAAAACAGAATAATTATCTTTAAAAAATGATAAAGAAAAGCTAAAATACAGAAAATTACTTTTATTATTACAAAAAAGTACCGTATATCTAAGACCATTTACAAGTAAAACACAAAGAAAAGAACGTCATTTTACTTTGCAAAAGCCTTAGTTTACATTAACTATCACATGTTTTGCCCAAAAAATCTGTAACCTTACAAGAAATGTTTTTGTAATTCCATTAAACCTTTTTCTTTTAACATATATTAATTGTTAGAATAGTCATACACCTCTAAAAAAACAGAATAAATATTTTTTTAAATGATAAAAAAAGACAGAAGATTAGTTATTTTAAAAAATACCGTAAATTCAAGACTCAAGATTCAAGGCTTTATTGTCATTTGTACATTATCTTCAGTGTAGATATGTCAATGAAAAACTGAAGTCACAGGCTCCTCCAACAGTGCAACATATATATAGAACATAGAACAAATAAAACCGATAAAATAGTGCAAGTAAATACAAATAAAATAAAATAGAATGCTGTGATGCAGCCAGTCAGGATACTCTCTATGGTGCACCTGTAGAAGATGCAGAGTATCCTGGAGTCCATGTTGAACCTCCTCAGCCTGCGGAACAATTACCTGATAATGTCCAGGGACTTTTCACACGGAGAGAAAACATACACATGTTGAGAGGAAACTGCATTTTTTTTTTAAACCACCCATTAGAACAAATTCCAAACTTCATTGCATCACAACAGAAGGTGTTCATCTGTGGAATAACTGTAATAATGAGCTGAAATACTGTGCAACTTTATCTAAACTAAAACTCTCATTTAGAAACCAAATCCTGAATGGTTCCGAGCAGGACCTGTGAAGTGATGCTTGCTATTTCTTGTCGTTGTAAAAGTTATTTATTTTTGGTTGTTTTGTACAAAATAATGATTTGTTTAAAATAATGAATCCAATATCACGGATGCTGATGACGATGACCTAAACTTGTATTTTCATGAACAATGTACGCTAGGGGGGGTAGGACCAGAAACGTTTTTAAGCTTCTTCTTGTGTCAGGGTTGAGTGAAGCAGGCAGGACCCAAATGCAGATTTCACAGAAAATCGGACGGACATCCCGGGGCAAAGCAGAAGCCGAGAAGGGGGACTCAGGCGGGCGGCCCGGGGGCAAAGCAGAGGCCAAGACGGGGGACTCGGGCAGACGGCCCGGGGGCAGAGCAGAGGCCGAGAAGGGGGACTCGGGCGAACAGCAACAGAGCAGGGAAGTCCGCGGCGGGGAAACTCAGGGGGCTCGAGGGCGAAGGCCGCGGCTGGGGAACTCGGGAGGCCGGGCACAAGGTCGGGCAAGAAGGCGGCGACGGGACAGCTCCGGAGGACTGGCAGGACGGAGGCGGGACAGCTCCGGAGGACGACGTACGCCGCCAGTGTCAGCTGGATCGCCGGAACACTGGGATCGAGAGCAGGAGCTGGTGGGACCCCTGGCGGGACAGGCGTAGACGGGACCCTGGACGGAACATGGGCTGGTGTCAGTGGGATCTCCGACGTAGCAAGGGCTGGTGTCGACAGGACCCTCGGCGTAGCACGTGTCGACGGGACCTCCAACAGGACAGGACATCGTGTCGGCAGGAACCCCGGCGGAGCAGAAGTCGGCGGGACCACCAACAGGACAGGACACGGAGTTGGCAGGACCCTCAGCGGAACCCCCAACAAAACAGGACATGGAGTTGGGAGGACCCCAGACGAAACAGGACGTGGAGTTGGGAGGACCCCAGACGAAACAGGACGTGGAGTTGGCAGGAACCCCGACGAAACAGGTGTCGGCTGGACCCTCAACGGAACAGGACATGGAGTTGGCAGGACCCCCAACGAAACAGGTGTCAGCTGGCCCCTCAACGGCACAGGACATGGAGTTGGCAGGACCCTCAGCGGAACCCCCAACAAAACAGGACATGGAGTTGGGAGGACCCCAGACGAAACAGGACGTGGAGTTGGGAGGACCCCAGACGAAACAGGACGTGGAGTTGGCAGGAACCCCGACGAAACAGGTGTTGGCTGGACCCTCAACGGAACAGGACATGGAGTTGGCAGGACCTCCAACGAAACAGGTGTCGGCTGGCCCCTCAACGGCACAGGACATGGAGTTGGCAGGACCCTCAGCGGAACCCCCAACGAAACAGGACAAGGAGTTGGCAGGACCCCCGGCGAGACAGGTGACGGCGGGACCCCCAACGGAACAGGACACAGAGTTGGCAGGACCCCCAGCGGAATCCCCAACGAACCAGGACATGGGGTTGGCAGGACCCTCAGCGGAACCCCCAACGAAACAGGACAAGGAGTTGGCAGGACCCCCGGCAAGACAGGTGACGGTGGGACCCCCAACGGAACAGGACATGGGGTTGGTAGGACCCCCGGCAGAACAGTAGTCGGCGGGACCCCCAACAGGACAGGACACGGAGTTGGCAGGACCCTCAGCGGAACCCCCAACGAAACAGGACATGGAGTTGGCAGGACCCCCGGCAAGACAGGTGACGGCGGGACCCCCAACGGAACAGGACACAGAGTTGGCAGGACCCCCAGCGGAACCCCCAACGGACCAGGACATTGGGTTGGCAGGACCCCCGGCAGAACAGTAGTCGGCGGGACCCCCAACGGGACAGGACATAGAGTAGGGACTTGAGTAGGGACTTGAGTAGGGACTAGAGAAGGGACTTGAGTAGGGACTGGAGAGGGGACTTGAGATGGGACTAGAGAAGAGAAATGAGAAGGGACTTGGAAAGGGACTTGAGTAAGGACTTGAGAAGGGACTTGAGTAGGGACTGGAGAGGGAACTTGAGATGGGACTTGAGAGGGAACTCGAGAGGGGACTCGAGAAGAGACTCGAGAGGGAACTTGAGAAGGGACTTGAGAGAGGGCTTGAGAGGGGACTTGAGAGGGGACTTGAGAAGGGACTTGGAAAGGGACTCGAGAGGGGACTTGAGAGGGAACTCGAGAAGAGACTCGAGAGGGGACTCGAGAGAGGACTTGAGAGGGGACTTGAGAGGGAACTCGAGAGGGAACTCAAGAGGGAACTCGAGAGGGAACTCGAGACTTGAGTTGGCGGCACCCTTGAGTCGGCGGAAACCCAGATGAAGAAGGAGCTTGAGTCGGCCGGTACGCCGACAGGACACAGGGGGCTGGCGTCGGCCGGAGAGCCAACAGGTGACGAGGAGCCGGAATCGGCCGGTACACCGACAGGACACGGGGTGCTGGCGTCGGCCGAAGAGCCAGTACTGGAACTGAACAAACAGAACACTTTCCCGTGAACACAGTCAAAGACAAACAAGGATCTCACAAAGACTAACAGGAAAAAACGAATATGGACTCCTTGAAAACAATTCCTTTTTCCAAAAAACTGAATTGGTTTTCTTTTGTTGTCGACTAAAGGCTCTCTTTCGGTCATTTTCATTGAGCTGAAGTAAACATACCACCGATTGGCTAAGAGTGAGTTTGGGCTTTTAGGGAGGAGCCAAAGCACACCACTGCAAAGGAAAGGGGTACGCTGAATTCACAACCCAAGACAAAACGAGAGCATAATGCGAAACAGAATTCAGCACAATAATTTTTTTATCTCGATTATCTTGTATTGTCAGGAGCACTTATCGTGTGTCAGAAATGTGCACAATCCTCTACTCTGTGGTTTAATATGGAATTACTTAATAATTACAATTCAAGTCTTACCTCTGCAAGAACTCCAGGGTATCTCCCAGTTCTGAGCGATAACTGATAAGTAATATGCTGCAAACATCAGCATCAGGGCGTCGACAACATTCGGGACACTGCCACTGACGATGGTCTGGTCCTCTGCTATCAAGTAGTGTCCAGCTGTCAGGGGAGAACTCCCTTAAGGTACACAACAAAGGAAGAAGTCACAAGAAAATTATAAATCCCAAAAATATTTGGTGCAGATTGTTTATATTTTTTTTTACTGGTGATCACATGGCCAATTGTATTTTAGGAATTATCAGCTCCTGCAGCGTTCTTTTCTTTCTTAAGTGTTTCCTAATGTTAACAGTGTAGAAAATGTCACATCATAAAGGGATAGTGTTAGAAATTAAAATCAATGTTTTATAGCATAATTTAGTCTAAAACATACCGTCAGTTTAAAAGCTGTCTTATGAAGAACTCATTGATTTCAGTATTGTGTTAAAGGAGGGATTGTTAGAAATTAAAATCAATATTCAATGATGTAATTTAGTTTAAACGCACAGTAAGCTTTGTCGTAGCAGCTGATACCCCCTCTGGCACTGTATGCAAAACCATCTCACCCTACAAGACAGTGAGATATACACAGACACAGTATGCAAAACCTCACCCCCTAAAAAAGCGTCTGTTGATCACACATACATTTAAGATTCAATCTCAGAGAAATGACCTAATCAGAGAAACTAAGACAATGAGAAAGAGGAGGGAAGTTCCCTCCCTACGTTACTGCCCACCATTGATGAGGAGGGGTCACCACTGAGATATAGAGAGAGGTGAGGGAGCTCTGGACACCACTTCTTCTTCTTCACCACGAGACTTCACCCCTTCACCCCGGCGAGGCAACAGCTGCTCTGTCTCTCCTCTTACCCTCTGCTTGTTGTATCATCGTGCCATTTAATTAAACTCAACCAATTTGAACCTTTTCGGAGACTCCATTAGTCTCTTCATTCTAAGCTCCTCTCCTGGGCGCGAGAACAACGAATACTTCTAACAATAGTTTGGGTGTTTAAAGTGGGGTTGTATAAGCCAAAAGTACTTATCCATAGTCAGTGTATTACCTGGGGTGGTGGGAAGGGAGAACTGGGCCTCGGCATCGGCAGGAGTTGTAGTCGCCTATGAGTATTAGAATTTAGATGAACAAAGGCATAGAAAAACCCTGAAATATGTACTGACACAAAGCTACAACCCTCGATTTTGTAAGTAGTAGTAGTAAATACATAGGTATATACAATATACAACAATACGCATAGTGCAATTAGCAGTACCAGTAATAAAATAACTGAATAAATAACTAAGCTGAATAGTGAATAAAGTGACTGTAAAATTACAGTGAAATGAAATGACAGTGCGTTCCTCACCACTGCGATCTGGCTCCTCTGTCCTCGTGTCTTTTGGGTCTGATTCCTCACTACTGATGTCTGCCTCTCTGCATGGGCCCTCTCCTTATTTCTTCTGCCTCAGTCACCACTGCTATCTGGCTCCTCTGTCCTCTTGACTTGTGGTTCTGCAGGCTTAGTTCGACCTAGGAATTTCAACAATGCTCCTGTAAAATATATAGTTATAGTATTATGTGTCAACATTAAAATAACATACATTGGAGAGCAAAATGTTAAATTCCATTGACTGTAGAATACATATTATACAAACAATTGTCAGCAGGGGCAATAACAACTAAAATGTGAACTAACTTGAATGCATTAGTCCACAACACATAGCCTAACTAATGTTAACCTACATAGTTACTAACATCAGAAGACTTGGACTAACTGTGGTTACATTACTTAACTAGCTAGCTACAGCAACAGAAAATATTTTCATTCATCACCTTCACCAGTCAGAAAATGCCCGTTAGCCGCGATGCTAATTTCCGCTATGTTAAACTCCATTGACTTATGCTAAAAATATTAGCGATCTATCTAAGTCCGCTATTTTTGGCTGTTTTGGGTCGACTTCAATTGACTGTAACATCGAAAATCTTCGAATTGAATGTTCACAAAGCTGCGGACCGGTTATACACTTATACACAAGGGAACTAACATAGCTAATTTAGCTAACGTTAGCTAATGTAGCTGTTGTAGTGCCGAGAGACGGGACCTACGGATTAAGCAACTAGACTACTTGTAGTGTACATGCAGAATTATTTCAATTTAAAATAGTTTTAAATGCTCACACACAAACCTGACTCTCGTGCTGTATTTTCCTCTCGTTTCTTTTTAATTTTCCGTTTCGAAGCACCTGATGAATGCTTTCTCTTTGACGGCGCCATAATCCCATCATCAACAGACAGAGGCAACGCACTTGTATTTTGTTTTGGGCTGTCTGCCGTGGATGGGCTGCATTCCACTCCAAATAGCCGGTCGGCCGTAACCAGAATCCAAACGCCAGCTGTTTTATGGATTCTAAACATATATATTAAACAAATATAAATAAGAAGTAAGTATATTATAGTATATTCAAGAATGAAAAAATATGTGCATTGCATTGGACACATGTATGCATATATATATGCATATATATATATATATATATATATATATATTTGCGTGCATATATGCATATATATATATATATATATATATATTGTATAGGCATGCATATATGCATATATGTGTGTGTCTGTATATATTTATAAACTATTCTGCACCTACCTGGGTTTTAAGAGAGTCCAATACCCCATTAGACTGTTCAGTCTCATAAAACATGCTCAATTTACTTTTTGAAAACACAAGCTCACAATAAAGTCAGATGGGAGATCTACAGAAGAAAGTGTGATAGTCAAAGATGCATTCCTATATTAAATAAACAGAAAGGAAAACTTTGTTGTTCCACGAGGCAGATAGCCATAGCAAATGGATTAACAAGTGAATTTAGATACTTAACCTTCAACTATCTGCTGCCTGAAATCCCTGTGACATCACTGTAGATTGTTGTAACCAACTAGCAGTGTGGGACATTATCACAATACATATTTAAGTTAATTTACTTGGATTGTAAAGGTCTTTCGCTGTAGTTACTAGCCTTGTCAACATGCGTGAAGGCCTATTCTTTCAATATGATGGATTTGAATAGTTGGATATTATTAGACGTCTAAAAGGACAACATAGGTTGTTTGTTTTACTGTAATTGCAATGCTAATATGTTAGTAATTCTTGAACCCTGAGAGCAGGGCAGACTGAAAAGAGTCAAGGGAAGCTTATAAAAGTTAACAGCATTTAATTACACAAAAGATGCGGTGGTGTACAAATGAAATGTGCGAGTGGAAGCTCTCTCCCCATGCGTGCGGTCAGCCGAGGTCAGGAGAAGAAGAGAAGCGCTCGATTCTTGGCTTGCTCTTCCTGTCGTCATCTGTGGTCTTCTCCTATTGGCCGGCGTCCAATGCAATTCCTGCCGGTTTCTGCTGCTGAATTACATCATTCTGATGTCTGTGGTTATTTAAACATTCCCTAATAAACGTGATTTCAGCGTCAATAAATGAGTGTTAAACCCAGTGTGTTTAGGGTACAACATCACGTCATTTCACCTTCAATTCACGGTTTGAAAACGTAGCATTTCGCCACATGCTAATGCTAACCAGAAATGACGAAATTCACTAGCGGAAAACCGGAAGTCAAGTGTGAATATTTGGTTTTTAGAATAAAACAGATTTAAATTAAATACAGTGTATTTAATTCAAATTACGCCATATCAACATTGATTTTAATTTCTTACAAATACCAATTTAGCATAGTGGTAGCACTAACTGCTAACAAGGTTTTGATATTCAGAGTCTGGCTGTTAGTGCTTGCTAGCATGTTCAATGTTATGGGCTAAATTGTACATGCTAGTGTGATAAGGCCTAGGGGAAGATGCTAATGTTATTTAACTTATAGATCCTTTCATTTTTCACTTACAGTGAAACTCAATATGTTTTTTGCATACTGTGCGCCAATCAATAATAATAATAATAATAATGGGTTCCATTTATAAAGCACTTCATATTTGATTTCAAATCCCGAAGTGCTACAAGCAGTGAGCATCCGCAAGGAGGTATGGGTGGTGAGGAGTTCCTTGAGGTAGGGAGGGGCAGTTCCATGGACACACTGGTGGGTGAGGACGGAGACCTTGAATTCGATCCTCAGTCCCACGGGTAGCCAGTGTAGTGCTTTAACCTGTTGCGCACCATCCGCCCGGTACCGGGCGGATAAACGCGTCATTTGCAGGAAACAACGTCTAAGGAATCTTAATATTTAATAAAACTATGAATGTTTTATATCCATGTAACGGGAAGAAACTCAGCTCACTGATCTTTTTTAAAAAAAAATTTTTTAAAAACCCACAATGCTAACACTCAGCCTCTGAATTATCCACGAGCGAAAAAATGTAACCTAAAACGGCACTTAAACTCACAATAACTCCCTTATTACTTATCCTAGATGCACAGCCAACCACTCGTTTTTGGTGTCCTGGAGACACGGCGCCGTTTACACGAGGAGAAAACTGCTTGGATCTGCATAGTTTCGCGTGCGTATAGCCCTATTATTTACACGAGGCCGATAGAAACTGACCCCACAAACGATAACGGGTCCCAAGGTGGATAGATTTGCAAACGAAACGCTCTGGGGGGTCAACCGAGTCCGTGTAATCACCTCTATACGAATATTTCCTGAAAAAATTGCGA